TACAGCAGCTTCATTAAAATAGATTAGAGTTATATTTAGAATCAGGATGGGGATACAGACGAGCTGCATTAAAGGTAAATTCAGGGTCAGGTTTTGGTTTTGAGATTAGATTAGAATGAGAGTTCAGGTCAAACTTAATGTCCTCACAAATCTAGTTAGGCAAACGTTAAATGTGAGCATGCGTGTGTGTGTGTGTGTGTGTGTGTGTGTGTGTGTGTGTTCTTTCATCCATTGGTGTCAATCCAAGTCTAAAGGGAAAACCGTATCATCTATATTTAAAGCACATCTGTCAATAGGTACGTTTTGCACAGTGAAGCTGCGACACTGAGGGAAAAACATGATCTTGGAAAATCTGGTGTGTTCACAAAGGAAACGAAGAATATGCTGACACGCCTGCTTGCGTAAAACTGAGACACTTTTGGAACAAGTGATGGATGACATCGCACAGTGACATCACCGAAAATAAGAACCCGACGGGGAGGGGAGGTACAAAATATTTTGGAGGTGGAGGATGTGTAAGAATGGGAACACAGCGGCAGCATCTGTACTCAGCAGCTTGGCCTATTTATGATTTTGCACAGTGTGGAGAGGGGCGTCTGGCTCTGGTAATGGGATTTTAACATGAAGCATGGTGTGACCAGCGAAAGGGGGCGGGATGGAGGGGGGGTGGGGGGGAGATCCGGGGGGAGCAGAGCACAAAAGGAGCTGCGACGGCCGCTGGATGCAGATAAACCCCTTCTCAACTCTGACAGAGGAGCCTAAGACTCCAACACAACAGAATAAATATCGCTCAGCCGACGGGAGAGCTCAGAGAGATAAGTCGCTGTGAAATGTTCTGAGGCAGATTATATTAGTGAGATCTGGATGAATGAGCCCCCAATCTGGACTGTAATCCGTTTCAATAAATTAATTAAAACGACACACAAACTTGACTGAATGCACATAAGTGTCAAACACTCTCGTTGAATAATTTCATCAAATGCTTCCCTTCATTGAAGGACATAGTCCCGCTGCATGCGAGTGTTTTCTTTCAGCGCTCCTGCTGCAACAGGATTTGTGGAGCTGTGTTATTTTTATAGACGATCAATCTTTGGCTCTCAGCACCTGCAGTGGTCTAAATATATTACATCTGGAGATGCTCTATCAGCCAAACAGGAACCATGCAACCCATTGAAATTCAATTGAATCCATTGGACGTGCAACGTGCAAAGACCCCACGCCGGCTACCGCGAATAGCTGTGGCCAATCGAAGTCATCCACTAGAGTGCGCTACTGACACTAGGTGCACATGTGTTATCGTCCCCCCCCCCCATGTGTCTGAGAAGGTGTGGGTGCATGTATTTGTCAGTGTGTCCTGCTGCATGTGTGTGAGGCTGTCGTGGGATCATATTACTGTCGGTGTATGAAACACAGGCAGGATGCAGCAGTCTGAGGTCACTCCAATGTCAATCCAACCTCAGCACACAGGAGCTAAACACAGACGTAAACAGACTCCGGCCTCTCTGTGGCTCCTGCAGCTTCACATTGAGACGGGTTTTCTGCCGAGTTAGTTAGTTAGACGAAGATCTAAAAAAGGAAAAACTCACACAAGATCTTAAAGCTGCACTCATCAATAAATCTTCGTTTTAATAATAGATCAAATGGCTGCGTGTAATGTGAAAGGAGTTTGTATAGCGGCAGAGTATTTTATAACACAGTATTTTGATATCTTAGAGCTCATTATTACTGTTTTGGTTCAATCTCATCAGCGTAACTCATCACGGTGCCTGATTTCCGTTATAGCAACCTAAAAATCATCGTACTCAACGCTACGCTCAGACACAAAAACCAGCTGGAGAACAGAGTGGCTAAAAAGACTGGTATTTCTTCTTCAGGAGTTGGTGGAGATCAAAACAGAGCTAGGTTGTGTTTATAGTTTACTTTATTGCTCTCAAGCGGTAAAAGATAATGGCCAAATTTGATACTGCAAGCATATGAGAAAAGATATCCATTGCTGGGTTTCTCGCAGGATGATCTTTGAAGTGAGACAAGTTTTTCTTTCTTTCTTTCTTTCTTTCTTCATTCTTCGAGCTTTAAACGTAAAAAACAGGAAAACCTGTTATGCTGCATGATGTGCACGACCTTGTGTTCCAAATAAAGCCGGCGACAAGGAAACATACTCAACAAACCATCTGAGGTGTCGGGTCCTTCTTCTGCTCTGACATCGTGGCTGAAATGTTATTAACAGATAACACAGGAAATCCTTGATCTGTATCATTGCACAAATGTTATTAACTTATCGCTGACTGATTGAGGACTGTTTGTCGAACATATTTCACAATAATCGAATTATACATTTTCAAGTTATCTTGTTATCGCACAAAGACGCTAAGAAGACCAACGAAAGCACATTTGCATTGTAATATACTGAACTATAAACCTGGTTAGTGCTTTTGCTGTAAACCCGCGGCAGTAAAGTCTGTATTATATGAGGTGTCAAGAGTGCTTCTATTCCCGGTCGCCCACTGGAGACTTGTAGGTCCTATAGACTGAGAAAACAGTCATTCTCTGAGGAATCGATACTGGTAGCTATAGAGACCTATGCTGACATGCAGGTTATATATCATCCTGTACGCCAGTGTGTGTGTGTGTGTGTGTGTGTGTGTGTTTAAATTAATGTTTGTGTATGTGCGTGTCTGCAGGAGGTCGTGTGTGAGCAGCCGAGGGTCACTCCCACACTGTTCCTCTCAGTTAAGCTGTCCCTGACCCTCAGTCTGAGACCCGACGTCCATTAAAAAGCAGCACAATGGAGCTTTTCTGGGGCGTGTCACTCGCCTTTCACTCGCGCTTTACAAATCTCCCCCCCGAACAACGCGGCAGCCTGGCACGCTGCGGGCAGAGGAACACGATGCCGCGCTGCCAGCTGGCACCAACCACAGACACAAGGTGGAGACAACTTTTAAGTGAAGCAAGAAATTCCCCAAGAGTTTTTCTGCTAATCCCTTGTACAGTGCTGATTCTGTTACATGCTGCTTTAGAGAAAACAACCGGAGACAGTAATTAGCTGGTAATAATAGTAATATCCGATCAGAGGATAATGACCTCCGAACATAAATAAGTGGGCGTTCGAACGACTACAAATTGTTTCCCTCCACAGTGAATCAGGTGTAACAGTGTAACACAATCCCGGCCTTGTGATAACTCACTGTGTGTGTGTGTGTGTGTGTGTGTGTGTGTGTGTGTGTGTGTGTGTGTGTGTGTGTTGCATGCAAGACACATTAACTTGCTGGCAAACTGGTTCTCAAAATGCCTCGAGTCTGTTACGCTGAATCTGCAGATCCCACGGTGAGAAGGCGGCAGGAGAGAGAGTGCAGGCCATACTTCAGTGACTGCTCCCATTAGCAGCTTTAGCTTCTCCCAAACGTGGGATTACAATATGCTGCGTCTCGCGGCGTCTTCGTGACACACAGCTTGGACAGATTCATTTTTATTCTGCTGTGTTAGCATTTTATTTGAGCACGTCCTACAGCGCATAAAGCAGAACTGGAAACTACTCTACATGCTCATGTATCAGCATCAGTAACCAAGAGTTCTGCGCGTCACAAACCTATTCTGGATTCTTTAATGAGAAGAAGTAGAAAGAAGAAGGGATGAAATAAAGGAAGGAGAGAGGCAGTGAGGATTCTGCGTTATCTTTTTTTAAGATAAGAGGATATTAGACCAGAGGCAGGTGGATAAGGAGGAGGGCAGGTGGAGTCGTCCTGCAGTCTGAGAATCTGTCCACATCACTGAGCCAACAGCGATAAGGAAAATAAACGTGTGACAAACAGCTGTTTCTATGGAGACAAAACCAATGAATAATCCACTCTTATTTTTGGGGATAAGATCGAGGTAAAAAGGCTCTGGGTGAAATTATAGCTTTATAATAAAAGGAGGAACCTTTCAACTCTCTTCAAGAAGTCAAGTGTAAGGTTTACTGATCATTTTCTGTAACTAATTTCCTGTTGTTCTGTCTACCACTGAACTTATACTGTATATATGAAGGACTATATAGACACTGGATTATAAATTAAACTAAGGTATATTTTATGTTTGTAATTTAAAATACAATATCATTTTTATCTTTTCATATGCATCTTTATTTTGTCAGTTAAAAAATGCATGTTATGCATGTGAAAACATTTTTTGTTAAATAAAATCTAGATCATTGGTACTTAACCTTTTTACCTATTGACCACTTATAATGAAGTATTGTCTACTTGCGATGCCACGTCAGTGGATACACATACAGATTCCTTTTTAAACACCAGATGAAGTAAAACTGTCCAGTTTCCACAAGAAACAATATTAGACAAGAACAAAAACAGGATTTGGTGTATCTGAGGTCTACTTAGGTTTCTTTCCAGTTTAATCACATGGAAGCTTCTCAGGTTTATATCTTGTGCTCCTTCGAGGGAACCACTGATCCAGACTGAGCCGGTTTCCACATTTGCACTTCTCACTGAACTATTTGCTTGATTCTTCACAAGTACACTCGTCTTAGGTCTCACAGGAGAACACACTAAAAAGGAAAGTCTGAATTAATTAAATACAAAGTCTCTTAATGATCGCCAGAGGAGACTCGGAGGCAACAGTGGTCGGTCGTCCTGTGAACAGGAGTGAAGCAGGAAATGTTCACACAGTAATTAATGACCCTTCGAATGACTGGCCTGTCCATCTCTGGCTGCCATGGAAACGAAGGGTTTGAGACGGACAAACCGAAAGACGCGGCTCGGCCTCTTTGACTCGGAGAATTGAGCGATTGATTTAACATTATTGAAACACTTTAAAACTTTACTTAACATTTACTCCTGACGTTAATGTTCTTGACTCTCAGTGACGGCCGTCTGCTGCTGTTCCTCCTTGTGCCGCTATTAATCATTTGTGACCTGCACTCGTAAAACACTGGAGCCTTTAAGAGCAGACTGGATGCAGCCATGATAATTACTGAGCTGCTGTGGGGTCTGATGTAGCCCCCTCGCTCATGTGGAGGGTTGACAAGTGCAGAAGTGGCAACCTCCCGTCATGGCTCTGTGAGGGAGCTGGTGGTCTCGGGTCCTCGACGGCTGGAGGCCAGAGTGGGGAGGTGGTGACTGATGTTTCTGTTGTTGAAGTGACACGAGGAGACAGCGAGGGACGATGATTCAACATCAGTGAACATTTTGAAAACACTTCCAGTCCTGAGACTTTGTTTGCTGAGTTTACGTTGTGAAGTTACAGAAAATGTAAATATTAAAATACCGAATCAAACTGTTTTTGAGGCAAACATTACATCTGTTTTAAAACCACAGCATTCTTTAATGTGTACTCATGAGGATGAGGTTTAACAGACTGAAGAATGAATGGCTGTTCATCAAGGACTAGTTTCACTAAAGGTGCTGATTGATGCAGGTTTTACATCAGACTTGTTTCTCCTCCAGTAATCAGTCTTTATGTTTTTCTGCTGCACTGAACTAACTGCATCGTCTTCTGCCCCGATGACTAACACGTAGAGATGAGAGGAACATAAATGTTCTCAATTAACTCATAAAGGGAAAGACAAAAATATTATCTTATTACCCAAAATATTATTAGTTGACAAATCTATTAATTGTCAAATTATTTTAACTCTAAAGACAAGACAGATCATCTTCTTTATACAAAAGAATGGCATTGTCATAATAAAAGCGCAGGAGGCTACAATGATCTTAAGGTTGATAGAAGTGGTTGTTTGAGACGAACGATCAATGAGCAGCTCGTTTTCTCCCCTGGACACTTATCACATGGTCCTTGGTGAAGTCAGGAGATTGTAGCGCATAGCTCCCAGGTGGGAATGTGTGTAAATGAGCTGCAGGCTGGTGCTTCACAAGGCCATGCAGACTCAGCAAAAAAAAAAAAAAACCCTCCTTCCCGAGGGAGACAGGTGACCAAAAGAATCTGTGAAACTCATTCACTGCACTGCTCTGTCTGGAGGTCATCCACAGCCGTCCAAAAACCCTGTGCTCTCATCGGCAGTTCACAGTCAGGACGCTAAAGTTAGGCCCCTAAAAAAAAATTTATAAATAAATTCAATGTGTCACAGGAGTCGTCCCATTTGTGGAGCAACACCAACAGCTATAAATGACACTGTGGCTCAGACACACCAGGAGGAGGGAAGAGCTGCCATGTCATCTGCCTGCGAGCTCCTGAGCAGGTCCGCCGAGTATTCTGGGCCGACCGGCGCTGGCATCGGGCCAGTGGCGTGTGTAATGTGCAGAGATAAGAGAGAGTCGAGCAGGAGGGGCGAGGGAAAGCAAAATGTCGCTCCGCACTCATCACGATGTTCAGAGGACACGGGTAAGATCGGAGGGCTTCTCTTGACTGAAAGGCCGCAGGCGACATAATGCTGACAAATCACAAAACAGAAAGAGATACCACACATCCCATGCTGCTCCTGCCATAACAAATATCACCGGCTCAGACGTGTAGGGAACATGGATCATCTCTTCGTTTATGTAACCAGTCTCGGTTTCGGCTCAGATTAAGAATTCCTCTTTCAAAGGAGAATTAACGGATAAAGCGGGCGTCGCTATATCTTTACATTTATTCATTCTCTCCAGAATGAAACACAAATGTATCTCTACGCTGTCATCAACACATCCCATGAAAAGATCAAATCCAATAGCGGATTCATCCCGTCCGTGTTAGCGCAGTCACATTTCATTTGAAATCCAAACTATCACTAGAAGGTGGAGACAAATTAAATATTGGTTCAGTTTGATGGAGTCTGTGAGATCGTTGGCGTCCGGGAGATTGCGAGCTTTTACTCCGAGAGCCGATCCTCTCGAGTGCTGAGCGCGGCAGATTGACTTTCTGCCTTTTCCTCGACTTTAGCATGTAACACTTGGGTGATGGACGTCTGCCTGTTCTGAGCAGCAGGTGCTTTGACACTGTCAGCATGTGAGATAAAATAAGCAGAAAGACAAAATGTCTTCAGACGTCTCATATAAGGAAAAGAGGTTTATGAGGGCAGACAATTGAATTTACTGAGAAAACAACAATAGTATTATTTAGTCTCCTCAACATCTGCTTCTCTAAATCCTCAAGATGGCTGCCGGAGCTTTAACTGCCTTTATCAGGAGCTTATTATCCTCAAGCCCACGATAATCATTGAGCGAGTCCCTCCAGCCACTTCGAAGATCATCTTCTATTCACGATTAGCACGAGCCGAGCTAAGGTTTTCGTTCTGTGACCATTAAGAAAACGTATGGAAATAAGCCACAGATAAATAAAACCTCATAATCCTATGAGTTGTTTCAGGGACTCTATTAAGATCCCCTGCCTTGTGTCCTCACAAGTCACTAATGGGAACCAGACAACAGCTTGTCATTATTTGTGAGTGGAGCTTCGGGGGGGAGGAAGGCTGGAGGAGGGTGCGGGCCGAGGTTAAAAAAAGGGGAAGTACTCGTTGATGTCCAGCTGGCTGTCAATGAGGTCGTCTTCACCCCCGCGCCACTTTAGGCCCAGTCAATATTCCGCTGCCCCCTTGTGTGCGTCAAACGGTTCACAATGGCTCGGTAATAAGGAGGAGGGGCCTTCACCTCCGCACACATGGGGGGGGGGGGGCAATAAAGGAGCAAAGTGAGCTTTTATTATCTAATCCCAGCAGACAACCAATCTGCCCCCGGACCATGTCGAAGATAACGATATCCAAGCTCAGGTGGCAGCAGAGCTCCGCAGTAATCCAGAGAGAGTCGTTACCTGGACGTGTTGTTAGCCCAGCAGGGGGGGGGGCTCACATCGGGGGGGTTGGGTTTGAGGCTTGGACAGTATGTGCCACAGCTGCCTGATGAAATGGGTTGTTTTTTTTTCGGACCTAAGAAACTTAATTTCAACTAAACGTGGATCCTCAATGTCGCTCATGAGTGTTGAACAACTCTGTGTCCTAGAACTTGTGCTGTTTGTTGCCTCCGTCAAGCATCATCAGAAGCGTTTAACACTAATGTGTGTCTAACAGATTTTCTCTGACCAATTTGACGCAGAGAGAAGAAGCATTTCTGAAATAAATATTTGCTTTACTTGCCAATAATTTACTCTGCCCTTGTAAATTTGTTTTCTATTTATATGCTAATGTCGGGTCCTTAAGTGACTTGATTGTTCTCTGCCGTTTAATTTCCACACTTGTGTATGAACATTCTGTCATTTCATCTGTTTCCTGCGCTGAGAGCTTCACAATACAAGCTGCTGTTTGTTTAGAATATTCGCCTCATGACGGAAAAAATACAAATGTTGTTATTTCCTCTCTCTCTTCATGTATAAACAGTCATTTAGATTTATTCTTATTTCCAGTTATGGATCAGAGTTATGCATAAATTGAATTGGGTAAATGTCATTCACTTAAACTTAAATACTTTAAATTCAAAACCCACAATTAAAGAATATCACCTCATATTGTAATAATCAGGGATATTTTTCACATTGATGGACTAATACTTTTTTGACGCATATTGTTATGGGGCCTTCAGAAGCCTGTGGAGCCGTTTGAATTCCCTCACCCTTTTGTATCAGTTCCTCTGTAATTGAACGCTGTGGAGAGGAAGAGGTGGAAGCCAGAGGGATAAGATTCACTAAGATGTCGCAGCTTTTGACAAATTCTTGCTTCGGATTGTGAAAAGCTGTGTCGGCAACTCTTTATAGCTGAAGTCATCACTTAATCATGACTGTGTGCAACATACAACCTCAGAGAGCAGGACGTGTCAGCCTCTGTCTGCCTCCCATCTGTCCGTCACTTCACATCTTCTACAACAAGCTCGTCTCACTTCAAACCAAAAGCACTAACTTGTCTATAGGCGTCCACGATGCTCAGATACATCTACTGTATGGAGAGAATGTACACAGGGGAGTTCCCTCATGCAGCTTGCAAGAGCAGTATATCACCCAAAATAGAGCACTCTGAATCTGACAGCAGATGCTTAAGAGATGCTGCAGGTCGACCGGACACAGCTCTGTACTGATGTTCTTTTGAATTAAGAAAAGTTAAAAGTATCCTGAGTTTTAAAAATTACAAATTATTGAACCTAGAGACCAACTGCTCATCTCAACCCGATAATATCAGCAGATTTTTTATTCACACTTGAAGCCGCACAGATCTTTATATTTACTTCAACAATGACTACGTGTTGTTTGTGGCGATGAGTCCACAGAAACGTTCAACTCTCGTCTCTCATGGATTTTTTGGTTTTAAGGATGCAATTTTATCTTTTTACACAAGTATCTGTAGTTTCCAGATGCAGAGAGCAGCTGTTTTCTACAAAACAGCTCCAAAAACACAACATATGCCGCCTGTGCAGCACCAAAAAGGTACTACGAGACCAGTGTTGTGTTTGTAGCTTATTTCTGACCCAAACATCTGATACGTCAAGTTTAATCCACACCACCAAACAAGTTCGATTCCCATGTTGCACCACCGTGCATGTTGCATGTGTTTATTTATTTCTGATAAAACCATAAAGTCTCGTAGCTCGTCTCTACACCGAGGCAGCGCTGCCTCACCCAGCTGCTGTCGGCGAGAACGTGGTGACAGCCTTCTGTGACTCAGACAGACTCTGACCCCTGCCACATAAAATGAGCTCTTTTAATCCATCAGTGACCGACTCACTGATTCCACACACACCCTGTGGTCTCATCTACAAACTGAGAAACACACATTTTGACATGAAGGACTGAGGGGCTGACGGAGAACATGTGACAGGGCTTGGATTATTTTATAGAAGAACGGGTGATGACATCCGTATAGTTTGGATATGAACGGCCGCTGAGTCATGCAGACAAGAAGCAACGTGATTCACAAATGCATTTATCTTACTTTCATCTTTTTACCAGCTCCAAAAATCTCTGTCTGTCTGTCTGCGGCTCACATATCTCAAGAACTATTCAGCTTCGCATGGCATCTGCATCGTTAATGGTCCCCAACATGTCAATCAAATAGATTTCTGAGTTGCTTATTTTTGCCAAACTCTTCCCTCGTATAAAACTCAGCTGCACAACAGAGATCGAAACCTACAACTCCTCGCTCTCTACAACCATTGACGAGGCCCTCACCTGCCACCGGGAGCTGGATTTGTCTGTTCCCTGTGTTTGGAGGAGAGGTGGGAAACACAAACACTCTCAGTCTGAGTTAAAGCCTGCCAAGCTGCTGTCAACCTGCCGAAATATATCTGCTAATAACATTTGTTACAGTTGAGGAGAGGAGCTCTGAATGGGATGTGTGTTGCTCCTCCATTTTCTGATGTAGGTTAAAGTGAGCAGCTTACTGTGGTGATGAGATGAGGTTTTTCTGGACCACACCCAGAGTAAATCTCAGCCAGGTGTCTGCAGCAACACCTCAGGTTCTGTTTGGAGCTGCCTCGGTGCCGTACACACGGTTGCTGATCATCGTTTTTAGTGATGATTCCTCTTTCTGCAGCATATTAAATATAATTTTATCACATCGGAGCTAAACCGATGGATTCAATTTGCCAGTTGCCTTTTCTTATTTTAAGTTTAAAACCTCTCACAGGGACCTTGAATGGCAGCAGCAGCTGTGACTTAATTTGATCATTCAGAGAACAGCTCCCAGGTGTTTCTTGCTTTGATAAACAATGAGTTATTCTGCAAAATTCAAAGATTAATTCAGTACGTCAACTATACTATAATTAAACACATGATGATGTTTTTGCAACTTAAAGACAAATTATCCTGAAGCATTTTTTTCAGCTTTCATACAAACAATATGTGGCTTTATATTTAAATTTAAAGTAAATCAAAGTAAAGTAAAGCCTCGTCACTTCTGAAGAGTTACGGTGACTGTTAATGTGTTTTTTGAAATGCTTTGATTCGAATGCTTCAGGGTGTTTTGTGATAATAAAGCAGCATCCTTGATTCTTTTTTAAATTAAAACACTTGTAAAATGTTAGCATCAGAAAAACTCAGAGGAGGAATTTCATTTTTCAAGGCTTTTAAACTTCAAACGATGCAGCTCCAGACTTATAACACATCGCTCCTGGGTTTCATGCAAAATCGATGATTTTTCCATTTGCTTTGTGTCGGCGATACTTTGCCGAGAGGGAAGCAACATCATTGCTACTAAAACGTTTTGCGGTCACGCGGTTCAGGTTTGGCCTACTTCACTTTTAGACATACATTAATATGCTGTTATCAAGTGTGAAGCACACTTTGACCAAAGGGAATGTTCTTAAATTGACTTCCATGCTTTTTATGATGTTGTCAAATAATTTTCAGATTTTCACAACGGGGGGTCTGACCTTCTGATCTTTTGAAACAGCATCCAGCATCAACAGCAAACATTCTGAAACAAACACCCTCTCCTGCTCATTTTGTAAATGGAGGATCTTTATATGGATGTGTGTCACTGCAGCAGATTTCAACTTACAGCAGAATCCCTATGCTACTCCTCTGCTCACGCCTGCTCTCCTTCCCATTGGTGCAGTCTGACACAAGATGTTAACTAGGTCAATGAGATTCCTTCACACTCCTCCGACAGGGAACCACAGCAGAGGAGAGGAGCGGAGCGGAGCGGGGAACGGTATGATGAAGAGGAGGATCAGGAGATGCTACAAAGCCAACATCTCTTCTGCTGAGATCTTGCAGGAAACGTGTGAGAGCGGAGCACCAGACAGCTGCTCTGACATGAAACGAACCACGTCTCGCTCAGGCATCGTTGACGGGACTTATTAACAATGCAGGCATTCCCCACTCGACTCTTTGCAGCAGTGCTGCATCAAAAGACTCATCTTTGGAGCCACTCTTGGAGACACAGTCGATTCCTATTTTTACACACGTGCAAAAATGTAAATACTGTGCCAAACACTGCCTCAGCACTCTCTCTGAATAAAACAGTGGTTTGTACCTTTTCAACATTTAGACGGTGGCTATATCCCACTGTTGCTGGTGGATATGTTCTTACTTTCATACCAGAACATGGGAGCTGTTTCAAGCTGTTATCTCTCTTTATGCTAAGATAGGCTACTCAGCTGCTGGATCCATCTATTATCTATACTGCTTATCCTTCAGGCAGCGTGGGGTACGTCCTCACCAGGTTATCACAGGGCCAACACACACACAGAGAAAATACCATTCACACCTATGGTCAGTTTAGAGTCTTCAGTGGTTCTATCCCAGATCTGCATGTTTTAGGACTGTGGGAGGCAGCTGGCTTACTCAGAGAAAACCCACACAAACACGGGGAGGACATGCAAACTACACACAGAGAGAACCCAGTCCAACCAGGATTCAAACCAGGAACCTCCTGGAGGCGATAGAGCTTAGCTACTGGGTGTGGCTTTAAATTAAATACCAGATTTTTGACTAATTCCCTGGTTCCTGCTTCTCAAATGCTTTAATCTGTATTTTTTTGGAGAAATTATAACTTTAATTCTTCTTAAAAATGTTCTGAAACAAGAGCGTTCCATGTTTGATATCGTGCAGTTACACCTCAAATCCTACAAGCATGATCCGAACTGTCAGTGTGGTGTTGACAAAATTCCCCCTCACCTCCGCTAAGGAATGGTGACTTTAAAATGTGTGATGCAATGTTTAGTCTTTGGCTTTTCTTCAGCACGTTGTCCTCATGAGATGCTTCTGTGTGACAACAGAGGAAATGTGACATACCTGGTGCCCGCTGAGGAGGAACAGCTGAACACAAAGGATTATAATTTGCAGTAATGAAAGATGAATCTATCGCAGGGGACCGGGAACACCTAATAAATCACCTGATGCTCCTGTTATGCACGTTGACGTTTCATTAGTTCCATTTCATTACACGTATCACTAAGCCTCTCTTCAAATGTCAGAGGAATGAAAAATCTCTCGACCAATCACTGCTCTCCTTCGCAGTGGCCACACAGATGCAGCAGGAATAATTTGCTCCTCGGGCCAAAACAGTAACAAAGACGCTCCTGACGACCTTCTTCCCTGAACTTTTTAACATCAGGCCTGTGGAGCTGGTTGTAACGCAGGCCGATTCCTGCGCTGCTCTACCTCTCAGTCTCTTTGTCTTTTTCTGTCCTCCTCTCCCCTCCCGTCAGCGTGTATGAAAACATGCCAGACTGTTTTATAACAGGCCTTCTTCTTGGATTAATCCGTGCACGGGTGCCAATCTCTGGGCCAGAGTCACACAGCAGAGAACAGCGGACAGGAGGAGACGAGCTTTAAAGGCCAGAGACGCACAAACCTTCTGTGGTCAGTTTCATATATTTACCACTAAAGTTTAAAAGAAAAGCGTTTGACAGGATTTTTAAGAGTCTAAACTATTCAAAGCAGATTGCAGCATAATACTGATGATGCTCAGCGCAAATTTTTGCTGGTGTACTAACAAAAATTGTCTATTGATTTTAAACACCTTGCTTCATGGAGTGCCTCTGATGAAATTCTAAAATCTAAAAACACAAAGGTGAATGAGTAAATTGCACCTTGGTCACAATTGATACGATCTAATTAAAGCAGAAAGGTAAAAAAAACAACCTCAGTCGGGTTGAACAACATTTTTATAGTTAAGCTCGTCCGTCCCTGACGCTTATCTCTGTGACAGAGGATCTGAGCAGAGGGCAGACTGTGGGATTCAGTCGATTAAATGTTTCCCTGACTTAATGGTTTCAGCATGTTTGTAAACACTCTTATCATCGACTGCTATCAACACTAAAAAGAACTAATGAGTTCCTACTGTGCATTATTTGTTTCACAGGAATTAAAGACTTTCAATATGAGGACGTTGTTACTAAAACCCAAAAAATCCTGGATAGAGAAAATAGAAAATATCGGGGTCCAGCATCATAAAGATTTGCTTCTGAACAGGAGGGAGGGAAAGAGAAACACAGTCACGTGATACTGAAGTGCAGATTCCGACGTGGATTTTGTTTTTCTGGGACAAACCTCGGGGGAACACAAAAAAAAAAATCTGCAATCAATCGGAGCAGCAGCTATCTCTGCCTCTCTCCTCCTCCCACTATTTCTGTTTGTACAAATAAAGCCTGTCTCCTCCTGTGGTCGTATGTATCGCAATCCTGCTCAGAGTAACGGCTCTGGAGCAAACAGACAGAAGAACGCCATGACTGCTGTGCAAATTTGAGACACTCCTCATCATGTGTAATGTCCTTTCACTTCAATCATACTGTTCCCCAATTATTTCCTTTCGAGCGTTCACCACTGTCAAGTGACAACAACATAAACTAGAGTTTGCACTTGATGCATTGCCACATCAAGACAGGATATGGATTTACTGTCTGTCCCAGCACATGCAGCTCGCTCAGGCGCTGATAAGTTGCCTTTGAAACCAACAGTACTGCAAGCACAGAAAGTTGAGGTCATGATCGGCTTCAGAATATAGATTTTAGACCAGTGGAAGACCGATGTGGAGGCATGCAACAGAAACAGAGCAAAAACAAGCTGAGAAACTGTGGCGCATATGACAGCGCCAAAGAAAAGATGTCATCCAGTCGCCAAGAGAAAACCCCATACATCTCCATCCTGACTGGTTGGGAATTAGCCTAATTTCTCCTTGTTGCCAGACGGCGTGTTACCTGCTGCTTGTCAAAATTGATTAGTCTAAGCAGCTGAACTTAAGCAGCGGCCCAGAGGAACAACCGCCACTCATGGTATTACCTGTGGGAAGACGTCTCTCTATCACAACAAACACTCCCTCCACTGAGCGACTAAATTTTAGATGCAAAAAATGTATTCTCTTTCTGAACCAATATGGAGTGATTCAAAACTATATGAATCCGAGGTGTGGCTGTGCATCCATGGTCACCGTGTAGATTCACCAAAGTGTAAACAGCTCAGATGTAGATCACAATAATAACATCATGCTCTCTGTTTACATCAGCCAACACGTGATGGGAATTGTTGTCCCAAAACTTTGTGACCACGATGTTTAAATAGCAAATGCACAACTACTACTTTATCGACCAATCCATGATATTGGGCAAACAGACGGAGTACATCTTGGACAGTACCCACACAGACACAGGGAGAACATGTGAACCCTGCACAACCCCGGCCGGCTGGCGGGTTCAAGCCCAAAACCTTCTTGCTGAATTCAGAAATAACAATAATGTGAGTGTCATGATCCTCTCACCTCTCGGGTCCTCTCCAGCTCATTGTGCACCGCCTGTTTGGAGATCTCCACCTCGATGATCTTTTGTCTGAGCAGCTCGTTCTCGTCCTCGGCTCTGCTGCGTTTGTCCTCCACGCTCTCCAGCTCGTTGTGCAAACGCACCGACACGTCTTTGGCCACCTGAGATCAAGAAGGAAATCACGTATATGAAAATCTTGTTATGTTCCATTAACACATGCTACATCATTTATATATGAGCTTACATATGCAAACCAACACATATATAGACCCACCGGTCTACATGAGTGAAGAGTTGTTCAAAGTGACTCAGAGTTCTGATAAATTCAGAGGGAATACTTCAAATATTTATATCTAAAAAAAGTCAGTCACTGGTGGAAGCCTATGATCAAAAGTCATTAAACACACACACTAACAAAATCAGAGACATGCTGTATTGTCTCACAGACCTTGAGGTCCTGCTCCAGACTACGTAGCAGATCTCCGTCCACGTGGCCGGTCTGTGCGACCCGAAGGCTCTTCTGCTCGGCCTTCCGTAGGCGGTACTGCAGGATACGGCAGTTCTTGTTGGATCGGTCCAGTTCCCTCCGCAGCTCCTGCAGCTGGTAGACCTCCTCCTCCAGGTAGTTGTCTCGGATCTCTTCCATCTCCGCCCGCAACTCATCCACTTCATCCTGAGACACGGTGCAAACAGGGTCCGGCTGTTATTTAAGTTATAATGTTGCTATTGTTAACTTTTGTTTGCCAAATTTGAAGAAAAATCCTCAAGGTGACATTTCATGTTCTTGAGCATAGGATGGATGGATGGACAGAGAAACAGAAAACATGTTGTAACAACTGTTGTCAGTGCAGCGGTGTGGAAAACAGGACCTCAAGAAGATGATGGTTGTGTCAAAACTTCTGATAAACCTGACTTACTGGTATTTTTAGAGGTTTTAGAAGATTCAGGTGTGATTTAGGCCCATAAATCTACCGCTGTAGATTATATATGAGGTCCACCCATGCAAGTACTCTTAGTGCTGATGATGTTACATCACTAGTTGGCTCTAAGCATCTTATCTCTTGGATTGGATGCCCCCCCAACTCCTATCAGCATGAAACATCCCAGTCTGCACCAAAAAAAGAGATTTCACTGTACAAGTGAGTGAGATACCACAATGGTTTGTTTGGTAACCTCGGGGGTTTCAGTTTACTCAGGAGATTTCCCCTGGGACGGATATTCCAAGAGCTTGACTGGCACCTGATGAAAAGTCAATTGGATATTGAATGGTGAGGGAGGGAGGGAAGAGTATATCAATTAAAGAAAACTAAACCTGTCCTCATTTGGAAAGGCAAAGAGCCCGTTGTTATCTGAGCAGGGCCCCGAGGAAGGAGCTAATGACCTCGCACAGGGTCGGACCAATCGATGGCCAGGTTAAAAGCAGAACCAGAGGCAGAGCAGCATCCTGGGAGCAGGTTTATACTTACAGAATATCACTGATGTTTGTACACGAGTCATCACCTTGACTTAGTCTTCTTTTTAACTGTGGTGGAGGTTATTACTAGAAAATAACAATTCCTCACAACCCAAAGCGACGTCTTCGTTAGCGACTTCAACGAATAGTCGTCAAATAATTGCTTAATCCGTAAAGTTTTAATTAGTTAATGTTTTGTTTTGTCTTCATTCCAAAAAGATTGTTTAAATACCACTGATATTAAATGGATTCAGCAAATCTTCACATTAACGGAGCTGACAGCAAATAATTGACACGGACTAATTACTTACCAGAAGCAGAATCCTGTCAATTTTTGGGTTTATTGCATTGCACTTGGTTATTTTGTATTTTCTTATGACACTTTATTGGTCAATTTAACTGATAATTAAAAAAAGGATTCTGCAGTTTATCCTTTCATTAAGATCATGGTTAGTTTTAGCCCAAAAACAAAATCATTCTGCAGCATCTTATTGGTGCGATGTACCTGAGCTAACAAAGGTTTGGATCCTCTTCCTGACCTTTGTCACACAGCACCCTAGATTTTCTTCTTTTGTTCCTCTCAATCAAAATAAGCAACGCACCAGGAATATACAGAATGCAAACAGAATAATAAGCAGAGAGGTGTCAACTCTGAGAGAAGAATAAAAAACAGGCAGTAATGGCTGGGACTGATGGGGGGGGTGTCTCAGGAGTTCACCTCAGAGACCCAGCTGGCAGCCTGACAGCCAAGCAGGAGGGCGTTTGAACCCCACACACATGGGACATCTGACTGTTATCAAGTCCTGTGGGATAAAGCCATTACAGTGAGAGGCCGCAAAGCTGATTAACTCTCTTGTGTTTTCACTGAGCTAGAGACACACACACACACACACACACACACACACACACACACACAGACACACACACACACACACACACACACGATCAAGTTTGAAATAAACACTCACAGTAACATACAAATAAACCTGTCTCCCATCTGTGGGGGGGTAAAAGAAAACTGTGAGATTGTTTGCCGCATTATCTGTTGTCCCCCCCCCCCCCTCCCCAACGTATGGGGATAGCCTACTTATACAGTAGAAGTGGGGGGGAGGGTCCTGCATGAAGTCTTCCAACAGAAAATACAACACACTGGAAAACAAAAGACTAATTAAGAAACACTGCAGACTCATGGATTTTCCTCCTGAAACAGTCGATGGCTTTTTGTGCATTACACACTGGCTTCAAAATGTTATGTCCACCGACACAAAGAAGTTCAACAGAGACAAATCTAATACTTGAATAAGTTGAAGAGCAGTTTGGATCACTACATGGAGACAAAGTGCAGCAGATCAATCTCCTCGGTATAAAAAGACTTTGGTGACTTGACAGCAACAGTATAAAAGAGGTAATTTAAAAAAACAGGCAGGGTGAAACCACTGCTATCAATAAAAGTGCCATTAATAAAGGTTAAATCCACGAGGATGCAAGTGAAGGTTAGAAAGACGGCATGATGGATGGAGGGTGAGTCTACATGGGCATCAGAGAGCAGTGGGTTCAGACTGTGGTCAGTGAGATCAGGCTGAAAGCTTGAGGGGGAAGATGCTCAAGGACACTTCAAAAGGTGATGATGACAAGTGGAGCTTTACTGTAAACAGGACAGTTTGGAAACCAGCTGCTGTGTCACAGATCATAAATGATGCAAAAACTAAACTGTAATCTGAGTTGGGTGATTGTGATTCTGCAGCCTCTTACCTTGAGGTAGTCGTTTTCAGATCTCAGATCTTCCATCTCTCGCTGCAGCTCCTCCTCGGTTACATCCCTGGTGCCTGGCAGTTTGACTTGTGCGCTTGTTGCGGGCTTCTTGTGTTTCTCTCCGGGCTGAGCCTGAGACATGCTTCCCTTGGCGGCGGGAGCATCGGTTGTGCGCGGCTGATGAGCTGCAGCCGCCGCCGCAGCTCCGGTCGCTTCTGCCCGCGGCGGATTATCTGCCCCCTGCTGATCCCGGTCACTGGAGCCGGTACCGGACTCTGCGTCGCTGCTGGCGGCCGCTGCCAGCCGCTGCTCGTCCGACAGCGGCTCGGACGGGCAGTCTGACAGGTCCGAGCTGCTGTCGGTCTGGCTGACCCGGCCCAGAGGCGCTCCGGTCGGTACACGGATCGGGGATCCATGGACGTGAGGGCCCGGGGACCCCGAGCCTAGCTTCCCCCTCTTGCCTTTAACGAGAGTCGGACTGCTGGTGCTGTCCGGTTTGATGCCGGCGGCTTTGGGCTCGGCTGCTGCCGCATGCTGGGGCACCTTCGTGGGCTTTTTGGCTGCAGCAGACTTGGTGTTACTTTTGACGGTGGCTGGTTTCTCTTTGGCCCCGGTGGTGCCGCGTCTGGAGCTGCGGTTCGGGTGGGCTAAGGGCACTGAGGCGGACTGCTGCTTGTTGAGTTTGGGGGATTTGGGGACGATGGCAGGTGGCTTGGCGGAGCGGGAGTGCACATCCTTGAGGAAGGGTCTGGCCGGGGACGGCGCTCGGTTCAGCCTCTTCTTCTCCAACTGGTGGTTCTGCGGTTTGGTGTCGCTGCCGGAGCCATTGGAGCTCTCCATTATCCCCCGACACCGGCAGCTGCAGGAGGGCGACGAAGGAGACGATCAATCCACGGCACCGCGGAAAACCTCGGACATGCGTCGCCAGACAAACAGCCAGGTTTCTTCTTCTTCCTTGCCGGGCTGGGGATGCGCATCCTGCGGAGTGCCGGGTGTTTTTACTCCATCCTGTGCGCGTTCACCAGGTTGTCATTGTAAGGAAACGCTGCAATAAAAAAAAGGGGATTACTGGGACGGATGGGAGGACGGACAGGTTGCATCTGCAGCCCGGGTTCGTGCATGAGGCTCAAGTTGGAAAGAAAGGAGTGAGTCCGGGGTCGCATCAGCCCTCTTCTTCCTCCTCCTCACGCCGGGTCTCCATCCCTCTGTTCCGGCTGGGCCCCCCGTGTGTCTCTCGTACCCGTCTCCACTCCTTCCTCGCTGACATGCAGGATCTGCAGCCGCTGCGGTGTGACGCTCGGCCGTGATTTTCTGCGGGGCGCATGCGCTCCTGCTTCAGCAGTATAACCCAGGCACACCCCCTGTTTTCTGTGGGACCAGGTCTGACACGCATGGTGCGCATGCCCTAATGGCACACACGCACACTGTGCACACGCACTATTGGGTATCGATCAACCCTCACTGAGGTGATGCACTCCAGTGGAACCAATACTGATCCTCCTCCTCCTCCAATGGAAAACCTGACATCAGATCATTCTTTTCCTCAGACCACCCCATCTAAAAATGAACCTTAACATCTTTAAATTAAACAAGATGCACTAATACTCTTCTAATTCAATGGGAAATCTTACATCAATCAGATCTTTACATGATCTAAACTATCACATCTGATTATTAAGAAGTAAATCCATCACTTCTAGCAGCTTTATTAAAGAAGTTTAGTGTCAGTAAACGTCCCCTCAAGATCCTCAGAGACAACTTTTGCAAAGACAAAGTCACACAGTTAGACCAAGACCACGGTTTGGTAATAAATATAGATATCTTTAATTGCAATTCATTAGTTCAAGAATGCCACAAGTTATAAATACCACAAATCAACTTTAAACATGCCGAAAACTTTTTTCAAAGACTTGAAACAGGTTTAATACAAAGTACAGTCTTCCATCTTAAAGGATACGCATTTCAATTTCAATAAAAGCATTTGTTTAAAAACGTATATTTAAAACATTGAGTAGTATAAGGCTTAGCTACTAAAAACAAAGACCTCAGGGTTAGTGGTGAATGCTAAATGTCAGGTAGGCGGAGAGACGAAGGGTTTTGTTCGACAACAAAAAACAACGTCAGGAGAAAAGTTTACAACTCACTGCTTCAGACAAAACTGGGAGATCATTTGTCTGTAAAGGTCATTTGCTAGCTGCTAATCTCACTGGAAGATGTGCTGGGATGTCAGTGTCACATTTACAATATTTTTCTTTTGGTATGAAACTATTCATTTGTTACAATCCGGTCCACAAAAGCTTGAGCTGAATATAAAACTTCAAATAAAACTAATCTAATAGAGAGTCTGCTTTATCAATTCCAAATCTTCTGAATGGGCTCGTCCTTCTCGTGGGCTTTAACCTCAACATGTAGCAGCAAAACAGAAACACCCACAGTGCACATTTCTCATACTGCAGGAATTAAATGGGAATTAAATGATTATTAATGTCTACATGAACAACAAGAGAGCTTAACGTGCATTGCCTTGTATTGTTGACACAACTGATGAGATATCACTGGTCCATAATAAACGGCCAAATCATAAATTCAAACTAGCTAACCTCTAAAAAAAAACACAAACATTCCCTTCAAGCTGGATTTTTATGAAAATGCTTCTTTTATAATTTGATATGAAACTCGAAGCAATAAAAGCTGCACAAATAGTTTTCTTTCATATTCAAATACCACACAAATCCTGATCTTTCCCCAGCAAAGGGAGACGCACGCATCTTTCTCTCGACTGTATTTGAATCCAAAGGAAAAAAACACCAAAACAAAACAATTACAAATATTAGTAACAAAACCAAAGAACGAAGCTTAAAACTTTAAAAAATGTGCCTGTGTAGTTTCTTTCTGTCTCTATTCCCTCAAAAAAACAGCAACACACGTGGAAATTGTCCCTTTGAAGGCTCCAGTCCACCAAAGACTCCATTACCCATCTCTCCTCTCTAACAGGATGTGGAAGAGTTGTGAGCGGCCACTACTGAGGCAACATTGATCGTTGTTAGTGCTAATCTACGAATCGTGTGCTTTTTCTTTTTCTGCACGTAAGCTTGACTAGTTACGATGGATCGTAGTGCAAAACATTACCGTTTTTAGAAACGCAAAGGGAGCTGTTCCAGCCACTTTAATACTTTAAGGCAAAGGAATAGTAACCGATCACCACCACACGACCACCCGCTGCCGGCCACGAAAATCTGCACTTTGTCCAGTCATTACAGCAACACACCATATTTACATCATGTGCTTTGTTTATCTCAAGTCAACTCCTCACTTGGTAAAAATACTTATTAATAAGAATATATAACTACTGTACCGAGACCCAGAATTGAACCGAAGCTGATTTTCTGTGATATAACAGACTGTCAGGGCGACTCAGACTACGTTAAAACTTAGTGTACACAGTATGTGTGGTGACAAAATGAAACAGCAAGACAACAAGCTGTAGGGCCCTCAATAACCCCCTCTCCATAGAAAATGTGCAACTGCTACCAGAGGGCTCTCCGACTTGAAGGCACCTGAGGGGCACAGCTCGTCTATCGGTCAGAGGAATGAGGTAGTCTGGGTCAAATGTCAACAGAAAGGTGGTAGGAGGTGGGTGACTCACGTGTTAATATGGCACATGTCATAGTGTTCAGCTACAAAACAGGAGGAGAAACAGGGATAACATGATACTGGTTGTTAAAAGAAAGTCCATGAATTTATAGAGCAGTAGTCAAGAATTCCAAACTGCTGCCGCGTCCTGCCCCCTGGTGGCCAGATTGGTGATCTGCATGTGTGAGCTGTGTGTGTGTAGTGTAGTGTAGTGTAGTGTAGTGTAGTGTGTGTGTGTGTGTGTGTGTGTGTGTGTGTGTGGGACCACTCTCAGCAACAGCGCATGCGAGGTGGGGGCAACTCTGGAGGCACTTCCGGTTCAGGCTGCAGAGACAGGACACTGTTGGAAAGCTCCTTGTTGGGAACTTCCAGAGGCATCTGTCTCAGGGACGAAGAAAAAAAGAAAAAAAGAAAATCAGAAAAAACTGATTTAAAATGAAGAACATATAGACAGCAGGCGACTTATTGAATGTCTGAAGTAAAAACCTAAAATCTTCAAACAAATTGTGACAGCAACATTGAAGCAGTGGATTTTTCGAAACAATAATGATGAATAGTTTATCATCCAAATCATCATTATTTTTGATATATTATAAATATTCTTATTCATAAGAATTATCTTCCTGTTTCCACCTAGTTCATAATGTAGCCGTTCAATTAATGAGTTAATCTCTATGACCTGTGTGACTCTTAGTTCATTTATAGTTTCTTTGTGAAGCAGACAAATGTTTAATTTCTTTCTCATAACATCCGTAATTGTTGAAAATTAAGTAATAGTTGAACGGAATGTGTGAAATCTAATCACACAGCTGAACAATGAAGGACAAGAGAATATTATTGTAGCAGGTGATAATGCAATAAGCACAGGTTATTATTTTATTCTATTCATACTGACCTTGCTAAGAATGTCATCCACAAGCTTCAGGAAGATCTCATCCACATTAAAGTTATCCTTGGCACTAGCTTCGCAGAAGCGCATTCCACTGATTCGAGAGGCAAACTGTAACACGAGAAAGTGTGAAATTATTACAGAGCCAGAAAAAGAACAACTGCATCATTTCTAAAACTAAACTGAACGACGAAACAGCACAAACTCCTTCGACAATTAGAGACCTCATGTAGACCTGCTGTTAGTACTGAAGCATCTTCTTTCAGAAACCTTGATCTGTTCAAATGAATAGAAAAATAAAGATAGATGAAAGGGAGGAGTTGTGTGTAGAACCCACCCGCTCTCCCTGCTGTCTGGAGATGATACGATCGCTCTCACAGTCCAGCTTGTTCCCGACCAGGAGAAGCTCTGCTTCCTCTGATGCATACTGACACAGAACAGAGAGGAGCCACGTCAGCAAATCATCACCCTCCATTTTAATTAAAGTTTTACTAGATCACTGCATTGAAATCTGTTCAGCACACTGACATCGTGAGAGTTGGCTGGAGCATGTGGATAACTGATTTACATTTCATGCAGCTTGATTTTAAATGTTAACAACTGTGCTCGGTTACCTTGTCTATCATTTTCATCCACTTGGGAAGGTCTTCAAACGTCTCCTGCTTCGTGATGTCATACACAATCACTATTCCCTTAGCGCCTCTGTAGTAAGCTGATGTGATGCTGTTGAACCTCTCCTGGCCCGCAGTGTCCCTGCACAGAGAGATTAAACACAATACAATCAGTAACAAAAGCTTTTATTCATCCATTGTCAACAAGGATGATCATGAACAATTCTTAAGGAAAAGAAGAATCAGGTTTAGCAACAGATTATTAATATCATTTTACTCATTGATGATGAAATTCTCATTTCTTCATAAGTAATTTACAAACACAGATTCTCTTTGTGTGCAGTCACACCATCATCATCATCATCATCATCATCTAGCTAAGAAAAATAGGAATCTGAAGAGTTTCTTCCTGAGACAATCACAGAAAGGTGACACATCATTATGAAATGATTCTTTGCACTGTAATTGATTCACTTAGCAATTACTACCAACACATAAACATTTGATAAATGTCTGTTAACATTCTGTCGTGTAGCTGTAAGCAAACATAGGTTTATATCAATGCTTTTGTCAATTACATTACCTTCTGTAGGTACTCATAAGTCAACGCTGGTTTATAAACTGACAATATAGAAAAGTTGTAATTACATGAAATATATTTTCAGAGTAGAAGGCTGTACGAGTACAATGTCAGTTAAAGCTACATTAATGTGTTATAATATTTATCAAATGCTAAAAGTGCTACAATCAACATGATCAATAAGACACACAGAGATTTTTAATTAGATTTTCTTTCACTAAATATGTGGATTTTTGGAAATCAACTTCAAAAATATTTTAAATGTATGTACAGATATTTTTTTAGGTTACAGTATGATTCAGCTGATCATCCTGGGTTAGCAGCGTGACAAGCGGTTGGAGCAGCACTCACAGTGCAGTGTTACTGTACCTTCAGCCAGCCAGCCAGCCTCTCCCTGTTCCCCCTGTGAGTCAGAGTCAGGCTTATGAGCAGGAGAGCGGACAGACACACAGCAGCACAATGGCAGCGTTAGGTAAGACCAGGGCGTGGCAGTGTTGGAGCTTGATGCGAGGAGTTCGACATGAGAGACAAGACACACGGAAAGCGGCCTTCCTGATCGGAAAGGTCGAGGACGGACAGAGGAGCGGGGACAAAATGGGACGTGGTAAACGGCAGATGAGATGAGGAGGACGGGCGGGATGTTAGTGAAGAAGTCAGATGTGTTAGTGGCACAAGCAATGGAGTCCCCTACTCTGTCACACAAAAGCAATTACGAGTTCAAAAGCTTTCCTAAATGTGGTAGTACATCAGTTTATTTATAACACAAGCGCTGCTGATGTTTTCAAAATGTAATTAAGGCCAAGTTAAAGTCATAAGACACAAGCAGGGGCTGAACATCATTGAATAACATCTTCCCGTCTCAGGTGGTCTTGCAGAGAAATTGAAAAATCCCCCCTTTCTCTTCTCTCCTCCGTTTGCACCCACCTCTATTTTTTTTCAAATAAAACCAACCAGAAAAAGCCCCAATTGTTACAAAAATGTGAAAACTAGCATTCAAATAAAAAAATCTGTGTTTCTTTGTCCACACACAACTTCTGAGGGGACCATGACAGATTACCAACAGCATGATACCTGGCTGATATACATGTCCTTCATATACATCAACCAGCTGCAGGGATAACGGAGGACACGCGTTCATTTTGGGGGTCAGGGGCTGAACAGTTTGGAAACGCCTGACTAAGCCAACCCTCTCTGATTTCAGTGAGGTGGATAAAAAAATGACACATTATAAATAACATATATAGGATTTAGTGCAGGCTATTATTAGTTGAAATGCTTCCAGTTTGTTAGAGCAGCTTGCAGCATGATAGGACAGAGGAAACACTCAATGATGGAACAGAGGAAATGCCCCACGTAGAGGGATAAAGGAGCTGGAGACTTGTGTCAAATTACTCACCATATCTGTAGTCGGATCTTCCTCCCTCTCAGCTCAACTGTCTTGATTTTGAAGTCAACTCCTACAAGAGGAATCAAACACAAACATCTGATCTGAACATGTACCAGCCTCGCCTGTGTTGTTGTTGTTGTAGTTGTTGTTTCTTCGTGTTGGCATAATTTCAGTTAGTAGGTTTGGACGGTTTTTGATCAACCTGCAAAATGAAAATTGACCACGTCTCTACGCATTTAAGGCTAATGAATAGCTGCGTTATCTGTGGTATCTCTGTTTAAAAGCAGCACAATATTTGTGACACCGCTCACACAACCTGTGAGCGGTGTCACAGCAGCGACAGGGCACAAAATGGAGCACTGCCAGAGCAGCTGCCTGCCTGCACCTATTTTGGGATTGGATACTATGGCTGGCTGCTGTGTTGGTCACAGGACTGTTTACCCAACACACCTCGTTCATTATAAACTTGAAAAACTAAACCATGGCACAGCAACATTGCAGCATGTTCTCTTGTATTCATCAAGTCAAGATACCAGGGATCAACAACTTAAGTTCTTGTGTATTTAAACTAGAAATACGACAGGTGGCCGTTCAGAAATGGCAGTTAATTGAACATATCCACTCCTCTCACTACTACACGTACATACCGTAACAGCTCTTGTACCCATGGTGTAAAACATGGAATCTCTATAATCTTTATTTGTGAGAAAACCTGGAAATGATGGGATTATTTTAGTCTTTCCTGGTTTACCAATGTCAAGTAACTCCACATACTCGTCTAACCTCAGACACATGTCCTGTGATTTGTTATTTGACACGCAGCATCGTACACAGATTGAATTTCTAATGGTGTTCTCCTACACGAGCAAACACTACAAGACGGTGTGACAAATATCCCCCCACGTATTTTTGACATGAGGAGCTGATGTGTGCCACTATTTTCCCATTACTTACAACGACCTTACTATATTAAACATGTTATTCTAGAGAAGTCTATATCTTGAGTGGTTTCCCTTGATATTTATATCAGTTTATCATAATTTGAATGAGCTTTCTCAATCCTGAGCCTGCTGTGTTCCTCTGTGTGAGCTGTTCACAACCGATAATACAATAAATACTGTGTTTGGTGCTGAAGACCTTGAATTATACAATTGATCAAAACCATATTTCAAGCATCAGACGTGAGTGAAGGCTCGTCTGTGGGTGAGTTCGGTTAGCTTGACCAGTGCAGTTAGCTTGAGTTAGCCAGCTCCATCTGGTGGTTTAACCTCTGATCGGTCTCGTCACACAGTAAAAACATGAGGCAGCTTGTTTACAAAGACTTTCCAGTGGTTGGTTTAGCTCGCCTCTCTTTCAGTAAATAGACGGGGCCCTGCTGGATGTCAACCATAGACTGTATGATGTCAACACAAAAGTTGACAGAAACAAGTCCCGTGAACGCCCCGTGTCCTCACCGACTGTCGACTTGCACGCTTCGCAGAAGGTGTCGTCCGTGTATCGCTCCATGAGGCTGGTCTTACCGACCCCGCGGGAGCCGATGATGATGATCTGCAGTTTGAAATCAGCGGGGCGCGGAGGCATCTTCCTGCGGCGCGACTGAGCCCCCAGGGCGGGCGACGAGTTCGCGGAGCCCCCGCCACCACCGGCGGCCCTCCGCGGGATATCAAACCGTGGATCCATCAGTGACTCCACATCAGTGACGACAAAGAAACGAACTCGTCTAAACTGGGACGGAACCTGAACAACGAGCTAATTCCAACTTTCTCTCGTCTCCGTGGGAGTTTGGGAAACTTTGTCTCTCGCTGAGTTGTTGTTCAGCCATTAGACACCGCCGTGACGTCACAATCATTTCCGCTTCCGCCGCAAAATGTTAAAATATTTTAATATTTGATTTTAAACTGTGTTTAT